GTCTCAGAATTAATAGGTGTATTTGGTCCTTTTGCCTATAAATCCTCTGACATTGTTTGTTCACAACTAACATATTTCTTGGGTAATTGGTAATTTGGGACAGCAATAACAGGAAAAGCAACAACAGACAGTAAACAACTGGGGCCACTATGACGAAAGATTCAAAATATACACAATACTTATGTTTATGTTAGATATCCTTCTATTTTGGTATAAATAATACGTAACAATTAAAAAATTGTTGTACCTTTTACAAAATACGCAGAGTAGGTATACTGCAGGATAAGTAAAGATGTGAAAACTTTGTTTAATTACTGCAATATTCTTCGCCACCTGAAATCTACAATATTTAATTACCGAGTTAAATATCTAGTTTAGATTACTGTTCACAAGTAGTTAAGGATGTGGGATGTTCTGGTTTAAGGAAATGCGAAGATTAGCTCTGGATAGGAAGTGGAGGTGTGTGTGATGTGCGTGTGTGGTGTGTGTGTGTGATGTGTGTGTGTGATGTGTGTGTGGTGTGTGTGTGATGCGTGTGATGTGTGTGTAGTGTGTGTGTAGTGTGTGTGTGTGTGCGCGCGATTGCTCATTCGATTACTTTGTGCTTTGATCATCCCCATATTTCAGCTCCATACATCAGCACAGTTTCTACCAGTACATCAAATAAATACATTTTCTTTTCCCAACTATTCCTCCCATTTGGATTTTCCTCATTGAATTTTCTAGATCGACAAAAGCTAGGTTGAAAAGAGCTGTACTCAAAGGACTAAATTTTAACATATCGACGTAACTTTGTTTGATACATGAGCAATTAAATTACAAAATAGTTTTGTATGTCATTTATTACTAATTATACCTAGTAATAATAGACACTATATTCACTTGTAAATCGAAATATTTTAGCAAAAACTGCTACCAAATTGAAATACCGTATATACTAGGGGAATCGCTTCGAATAAATTATCTAAAAGTCGGTTAATAATGTCATTAATATAATTCCCTGTCCGTTATGTTTTAATACCCTCTAATATGGCTGTTAGTTCATATCGTATTCAGCGTTTCATAAAATTATAACTGCAGATTCATCAAAAACACAAAACGTTAATAAAATGAATAACGAATCACAAAAGAGGTTTGTGCGATGATTACATTTCATTTATCAAAAAACAATAAATTAAATTAAAAAATACTAATCTATTAACTTAACTAATACCTACTGTAAGTTGACTGTTAAAGTTTTAGAAGAAACAAAGTGATTAAATATCACTTTTGAATAATCGGTATAAACCGGTCAAGTAACATATACTTCTATAGAGAAATTAATGTTCCTCCTGGATAAGGGCCTCCTAGATAAAGAGTATGTCATCAATAATGTACTTAGTTAAATCAAGCCAAAATACGGAGTTAAATTTTTTTTACTGACCAACGTTTCGCCCTCTCCTGTGGGATTTTATCAAGTTAGATTTCCTGATGCTATGTCTATTGTATCGACTGCACAATAGGCGTAGCAATTGAACAAGAACACACTTAACAAAAAGAACTGAGAAGGTTTCGTAATAACTGTGTATTAAGTCCTACATATTAAAGCGGACCAAGGATGATATATGTAGGATTTATAAGTGGCGCCATCAAACTTCGTCCTTATTGAATCATCCCCAATCGTATAAGAAAGCTTTTATACCCTGTTTTGTATTATATCTCTTGATGCACGTAGTACATTTTTCATTTTAGCTTATTATATAACCACTAACGATGAGTTAGGAAAGGACATGCTTGGCTTTTGTCGTATGTTAAATTTACATGGTGGAATTTGCGTCGAGGCAAAATTGAGTCAGAAGTGCTTAAATATACCTATAAGTATGTCTATTCGGTGGTTTCACCGCGAGATATTCGCTGATCTACGGGGCTCTCGTTCCACTAGTTACGATTCAAATTTTCTGCAGTAGCACCGTCACCAGAAATACGTCTCAATAGATTCCGTATTCCGCGTTTTCTTAAGTGGCTCGTGAACTAAAAGCGGAATAGTTGGAGCTCGTCCAAAATGAAGAGAACGGGAAGAAGAAATATGTGCCGCTAACAAAACTTAAAACAATGGAAATTCTAACAATCCTCTAAACTGTAAAGGACGGATTATCTATGTAAACTTTTTAAGCAAAGTGACTATACGTTTTCATTATGTGGCCTGAAATAGGGAACATTCCGTTACTTCATTAGCTTGAGTATACGGGGTGCGGAAATCAAATAACCGGACTAGTGCTGCTACCAGTAAATAGAGGCAAAGGCGGCGCGGCTGGTTAGATAATGAGCACGGTTGTATTGAACATTGTCTACTTTCATGGTACTGGAGAATTAGAGATAAAAAACCCTTGTCAATGTTAAGAGAATACTTAATCAGTTTTTATAAATAAATATTCATTTAAAACTGACAAGCAAGCAGTTTCTAATTTCCTTAACCAATTTAAGATTTATGAAGATTGGAAAAACTTTGGCAGTTGTTGTAGAACAAA